AAAAAGCAGGTCTCGGTCCGATTGTTTGATCCGCACCAGAGTTCGCATGAGTGTATTCACACCTGCACAAAAGGTCCGGACCAACGCTGGAAACGAACTCTGGTTCGTTTAAAGCCGACCAAATTATCAGGTCTGAATATGACCTGACAGAACGCTGAAGATTTATGACCGAGCCTCTTCTCCAAATGAGGAAGATTTGTGCAAAAAAGTGTTATAGACACCAAGGCCGGCCTGTGACTTGGGCAGTATAGGTAAATGCTAAGGGGGGCGTCCATCCAGGGACCCACAAACAGGTGATTAAAACAATGTTATAACTTTTTATAATTGATTTATTCTGTAGATTAATCCCTGGTTCCTCAGATTTATGAAGGTAACTTGTTCTGCTTTGAGCTGTTAAATGGTGCAGAGGAGATTTCATGATGAAGTAAAAACTAACTACTGTTCAGTGTGTAAAAAGAAAACAAAATAAAGATAATAGAAGTTTCAGTTATGATCCCAGATAAAGTTCAGGTTAAAGTTTGGTTTACAGTGTTCTACAATCATGAAATACTGATTTTATATTATTTTATCAATCCCAGAAATTTAATAAAGCCGGGTTCCCACCAAATGCGTCTTGAGCAGCAAAAATGCTCCTGACGCATGTCTTTGGCTGCTTGTCAACTGATGTCCATTCAGACCGAACCCGTCTGAAGACGTGAAATGGGAGGAGCATCTTTGTTCATTTTCTGGTCTGTTGACGGTTGAAATAAAGATAAAATAAAGAAAATGGCTTTGCTTTATTTACTAATGAGCAACCGAACGTTGCGCACAGCAGATATTTAATTCACCAGATAATTTAGAGGTGGTTTGTTCAGTTAAGTTTTGCCACTCCAGGAGCTGCGAGCTGATGGACTTCTTGTTTTGTCCCGAGCGAGCTGCTGTCTCATCACATCGGTGCTGATACAGCAGCATGTATATATACATACATACATACAGTTAGGTCCATATATATTTGGAGTAAACATGTGGTCAAAGGAGCTCTATATGCATGTGAAACGAGCCATTCTTAAGTTGCAAAAACAGAAAAAAAAACCATCCAAGAAATTGCTACAATATTAGGAGTGGTAAAATCTACAGTTTGGTCCATCATGAGTAAGAAAGAAAGCACTGGTGAACCCGTCAATGCAAAAAGACCTGGGTGCCCACGGAAGACAACAGTGGTGGATGATGGCAGAATAATCTCCATGGTGAAGAGAAACCCCTTCACAACAGCCAACCAAGTGAACAGCACTCTCCAGGAGGTAGAAATATCAATATCCAAATCTACCATAAAGAGAAGACTGTATGAAAGTAAATACAGAGGGTTCACTGCATGGTACAAGACACTCATAAGTATCAAGAATAAAAAGGCTAGACTGGACTTTGCTAAAACCATCTGAAAAAGCCAGCACAGTTCTGGAAGAACATTCTTGGGACAGATGAAACCAAGATCAACCTCTACCAGAATGACGGAAAAAGTATGGTGAAGATGTGGTACAGCTCATGATCCAAAGCATATCACATCATCTGTAAAACACAGCAGAGCAGTGTGATGCATGGCTGCCAGTGGCACTGGGTCACTAGTGTTTATTGATGATGTGACACAGGACAGAAGCAGCCGGATGAATTCTGAGGTATTCAGAGCCAAACTGTGTGCTCAGATCCAGACAAATGCAGCCAAACTGATTGGTCATCGTTTCATACTACAGATGGACAATCACCCAAAACATAAAGCCAAAGTAACCCAGGAGTTTATTAAAGCAAAGAAGTGGAATATTCTTGAATGGTCAAGTCAGTCACCTGATCTCAACCCAATTGAGCAACATTTCACTTGTTAAAGACTAAACTTCAGACAGAAAGGCCCACAAACAAACA